ATTCAAGTAATCCAAGTTTCAAAAAGTGCACAGTGATTTAAAGTGCAAACTCTCCCATCCATGCAGCCTACCCAGAGGACAATCATTTTACCAATTTCTGGTATTATATCTGTCAGGATAGTTTGGATTTTGTCTAACATATCAAATTCAATGATTTGAATCCAAAGTGTGTTACTGATGACTTTATAATGGTCACTCAGTCTCTATCTTAGTCTGTATTTCTGTGATCATCTTGGCAGGAGCAAGAGGAACTCTAGAAGAGCTCATGTTAGCAATTAAATTCTCCAGCCCAAAGGATACACATATTATTTGTTTTTTTAAATTAAGTATTATATTGGTACAGTTTAGGTATACAGTACAGTTACATTCATCATTGGGATCTTATGCCTTTACATGATGTACCTTGGTTACACACATTATTTCTTATGATACACTTACCAGAAATAGTCTCATGGCCTTACTAAATGATAGTGAAGAAATAGTTTTCTGTATTCCTTTTTTTTTTTTTCATTTTTTTGTAGTTGAGACTGACCTGGAACTCACTATGTAGCTCAGGCTCATCTCAAACTCACAGCGATCTTCCTGCCTCAGCCTCCCAAGTCCTGGGATTACAGGCATGTGCCACCACGCCCAGCAGTTTTCTCTATTTCTAGAAGGAGAGAGGAACCAGATATCATAGAGCAGTACCGAGACCAGGAGGTAAGGGGATAAAATTCAAGAGCCTGATTAAACTAACCTTTGAGAGAAATTAGAGTGCAGAAGACAAAGAACTAAAACAAAAAACAAAAAACCCCAACAAATTCGCTGCTGACAAAAACCCTAGCCATCTGGAGCAACCTGAATTTTTGCGTGCTCTCTCCTCCTCTGCTCTTTCATGCCCCCAAACTGTGTATAACTTCTAGATTCAGGTGCTTCATTGGTGTCCTTGCCCACCTCATCTGGGGAAGGCTTTTCTTGGTCCCAATAAACCACACCTGATACCTTTCCCCACTGTTTGCTGTGTTCTTTTGCATCAATCTTCACCACTTTCAGGACAAGAACCCAGGGCAGGGCTGGTCACAGTCCTGCTGACTGTGCATTGCTGGTCTGCATTTTGTACATTCGCCTGGTAGCATGTGCTGGAGGATGCTCCATTTCTGCACTCATATTTTTAGGCAGCATCGTATTTATGCTGCTATCTTATTTGTCCTGTCATCTCCACGCTCCATCACCACCTGTCTTTTCAGAGATGAGCTCTATAAACTGTATCATCCAACCCCCTTTGACTTTCATTTTGTTTGGGTTTGATCAGTGGGAGAGAGCAATATTGGTTTATGTATTCTGTAGCTTCCCTTTTGGTGAGATATGTGGTGGTAGTGGTTGTATTCGCCAATAACCATGACTCCTACTGGGAGGCTCTCTTTCATCTCCTTGCACTCAGTGTCACTGTCAGAGCTGCTCCCTGTCACTGCACCTTCAGGCCAAAGAATGGAAATGTACTCCTTGTTTTGCTTTGACAGCCCGTGTATTGTAGGAGTTGTTACTAGAAATGAGGTTACTGGGCTGAAGGATAAGTCCTTACTTAATTTAGACAAATGTGGGGAAACAAATCTTCTAAAGTTGTACTGATTTATGACCACAGCTCCATTGGGCATAGTTGAGCATACAGATTGCCGTTTGGGACTAAATCCAAAGTCTTATGTTCTTGGATGTCTTGAGTAAGGGTTGCAGAAATGGGGAGGTAGGGAGAATGGAGAAAAGAAGGAAGGAAGGGATAGATGCAGGCAGAGAGAGAGAGAGAAAACTTCATGGTGAATTTGTCTCTGTAGATTTTGAGTGACTGATTGGAAAATGAGTCTTCTGACTGTATTTGTTTCCCAACCTAGAATAACCAATCATAAAATTTATGTAAAACTTTTAATATTCAGATTTGATTTTAAGAGACCATACTGTTATGCCCAATGATCTTATAGCTGAAGTTTTGATTCCAAGATGGCTATTCTGACAGTCCTTAAATTTCTGATGCTGAAGTGCCTCTAAGTAAAAAGATTTTAGCTCCTTCTTGGGTGAAAGTGAATAGTTACTGTCCAACCCAAGCATTAGTCTGTTGACTTGTGACCTTGTTATGAAATAAGGTTCAGCCTTGGCATTTCCCAGCACCTACTTCTCACCCTTTCGTGGTAGAAGAGAGCCAACAAGAGACAGCCAATTAACTGCTAACACATATTGAAAAATGTTTGAAACTGAGATTTGCGGTTTGTTATGAAACATGCCATGGCATGGACTAGGGTTTGGATTTCTTCCCACTTGGCTTTATTTGCCTGTCTGTAGGTTAGAGAAAGAACAAGGAGGAGAAACGAGTGCAGAACACACACTGCCAAACACACACTTTTGCAATACTTCCCATCATAGAGACCATGAAATTTCCTTGTGCACATGGAGATGCTAGGTGATGGAAGAGGTTGCAACAGGGAGATTAGAGCAATAGTTCTAGGGACCTTGTTATGGTAATGAGGAAATCCTAGTATTGGTGCTTTTTCATACCGTGCAGTCCACTCTGTTGTTCTTAAATTCTTAGACTTCCTGGATATAGACTTGAAATTTGCTCAAGGAGTTAGTCTTGTGTTCTCAACTATACAGTCAAAAAATAACTGAGCCAGGCATCGTGTTGCATGCCTTTAATCCCAGCACTTGAAGGCTGAGGCAGGAGGATTGCTGTGAGTTCGACACCAGCCTGGGCTACATAGTGAGTTCCAGGTCTGTCTCAACTACATAGTGAGAACCTGTCTCAAAAAAAACAAAAAACAAAACTGTGTGAGGTGATAATATGTTAATTAATTTGATTATTGTCTTAGTTACTTTCTCATTTCTGGGGCGAAATACCCGACATTCACACACTAAAGGAGGAAATGCTTTATTTTAGCTCACAATTTTTAGAGGTTTCGACCCATAGTCAGCTGTTGCTAAGGCAGGACAGCATGGTAGAGGAGCATGGCAGAGAAGAAAGCAGCAAGAGCAGTGAGCCTCCTTTTCCCTTTTCATTTCATTAAGGTTACAGGCCTATTGGTTGGTGTCACTCACACTCAGGGTGGGTCTCTGTCTTTAGTAAATTCATTCAGCCACACTCAGAATTATGTCAAACCAGTCAATGGACTAATCCAGTTAGCATATCGTTAATCCAGTACCACACACCCATGACCTAGTTACTTCCTATCACCATCCATGATCCAGCCCCCACTGTGAGCTCATGAGGCCTTGGAGGGGATATTCAGATATAAGCCATAATATTCCATCCCTGCCCACAAAAGACTCATGTGTATCCCTTGATGCAAAATGCATTTATTCCATTGCTGAGAGTTGACAAAGTCCAAACAGTTCCAGCATTGCTGAAAAATTCAAGTCTAAATTCTTCTCTGAGATTTAAGACAAACCCTTAGCTTTGAGGGGTTTAAACACTTCCAACATATAGTGGCACAAGAGAAATATTTCCATTCCAAAAGATACAAATAGCGGGGGTTAAAGTAATGGGACCAAAGAAGACCAAAATCCAGCTGGGAAAACATTAAGTCTCACAATTCCAGGTCCAGCATCTGGGTCAGTCTGTGGCACGATGTGAGCTCCAAAGGGGTTGGGTGGCTCCAGCTCTATTCTACTGCCAGTGGTTGCAGTCCTCATGGCTTCTTTCTTGAGCTTGCTTTGCTTACTCTTGCAACTTTCCTCAGACAGCCCACTTTCCTGTCTTCTCCAGTTCTCTGGGGTCTTCGTTGCACCTTCAACTTTACACTTACAGCTTCACACAGTGTCCTCAGTGGTGCACTGCCTGGCCTCTCAGGCCTTCTTCTGAACTGGTGGAACCCTCCCTTCTTGACCCCACAGCTATTGCAGTCTGCATGCATTTAAAATCAGTACCATGGATGTGCCACCAGCTGAAACAGTAGCGAGGCTTCCTTCTCCCTTGGTACCACCCAGTAGGCGTTATCACTGTATTTGATGACTTTAACTCTTTCTTGAAGAACTGAAGACCCTCCCCCAAGAAAGAAATACAAATGGCCAATAAACAAGTGAAAGAAACATTCAGCTTTATTGGCCATTAGAGAAATGTAGATTAAAAAAAAAAAAAAAACCAAACACACTGAGATTCCATCTTACTCCAGAAAGAATGGCTATTGTTAAGAACTCAAGAAACAAATGTGGTGAGGACGTGGGAGAAAAGGAACCCTATGAATAAAATCAAGAAGTTTGAATCAGTGGTGAGGTATCTGCTAAATTCCTATCCTTGTACCTTTTTTCCCCAGGTACATTTCTCCTCAAAGTTTCCACCTCCCACAAATTTTTCTAGATGAGGGGCATCATGGAATTCATTTCAGAAAGCTCTGGAGAGGCTCACTGGAATCCCGCTGTCCTGCATCATTCTGTTCTTTGTCATGCCCTAACCTGGGTAATTTTGTGTGCAGATTTCTTAACTATTCTTTGAGTGTGTTGGCTCATTTTTATCATGGGCCATCATAAATTCACCTCATCTGTTGTTTATATTGTTGAACAAGTTCATGGATAAAGGGTTCCAAAGCTAATGCAGTGTGCTCTTTTAAAAAACACATGTGGATTGCTACTCACCAGTACCTCAGAATGTGACATTTTTGGTTATTGTAGATGTAGTTCATAAGTTCATTATAGATCAGGATTGACCTCTAATTCAATATGTCTGATGTCTTTATAAGAACGTTGCCACGTTTGGGCAGACACACAGAAAAAGGGCATGTGACAATAAAGGCAGACTCAAGTCAGAAAGTAGTTAGGTAAGGATGCCAGTGGCTCCTAGCATACCAACAGGAGCTGGGAAGAGGCCAGGAATCTCTATACAACAAGGATGGCACTCTGTTTTCTTTATTGCATTTTCATATTTCAGGCCCTTTCTCCTCTGATTTTTACCCTTTTCCTTAGCCCCATCCCATCCTCCAGCCCCAACCTTGGTCCCTCTTTATCTACCCTGCCCACTCACTCTGCCTCAGCATATCCCAGGCTCAGCGGGACAGGAAGCTCATTTTATAGTTACTTGGGATGGCAGTGAAAGCCCCTTGTTGAGGAGGAGATATGTTAATGTCCTGAGGTGCCTGCTGGGACTTGATGTGGAAGTTCTGCAGGATGGTGGTGAGGAAGAGGAAGAGCTCCATTTTAGCAAGGCCTTCTCCAATGCAGGACCGCTTTCCTGAAGAGGTGAGGCAGGATGGGCACAGATGAAATAATCTTTCACTGATACCTTACCCTATGTGGATGTTCACCTGTGTTCTCCCAGCTAGATGGGCCTGCATGTAATACTGTGGGCTGACAGATCTAGACAGAAACAGCTAATTCTCTCTGAGCCTCAGTTTTCCTTGAGCGTGAGGTGGGTACTTTTGTACTAGTATGTAGTAATGAGAAGTTTCAATACCCCTTTCCCCCAGTACACTCTCACATATAGCTGCCATGGTGACATCTTTTGTCTAATAGTTTGAAAAATTTTGGAAAGGTCTGGACTCAGTCTTGAATTCCTCATCTCTAAAGGGTGGTTGGTCATTCTTTCCCCTTGTTCTGGGTACAGATACTTTGTGCCTACTATTTATAGAGATTGCAATTAGTTGGCTGAAGGGTAGCCCCAAGAACTACCAAGCTAGAGAAAGATGCTAGGATACACCTCAGAGGGGAGTCAGAATGAGCTGACACATTGGTGTGCAACAGTGCTTATCTTTTTTTTTTTTTGGTACAGGAATAGAACTCAGAACCTTGTGCTTGTGAGGGAGGTGGCAGCACCACTGAGCTAAATTCCTGGACTGCAACAGTGATATCTTACCTATGGAAAAAGGTATAAAAGCATCACTCTTCTTAAACTGCCCCTTCTCATCCAGGAAGTGTTGTGGGTTGAAATCACCAGGGTTGGGGAAGAACTTGGGATCTTTCAACACAGATCCCAGCATGGGGAACACTTCAGTGCCCTGAGGATGAGGAGGAATGGGAATTTGATAAAACAGATTGAGAGATGAATGTTCTGAAAGTACAGAGGGAATTTACAGGGTAGAATAAGAAGACCCCAAATAAAGAGAATAGGGAAGCATCAAAATTGGAATCTTCTGAGACAGGAAATTTGGGGAGGAGAGGTTTCATGTTTTATGGGAGGTGAAGTTTGAGAGACACATGGCATGCATTTGGGGATATGCAATTTGTGTCCGAAGATAGGAGGTTGGGACAACTTGGAGTTTTATGATGCCTGAGGAAGAGAGTTTATAATAATTGAGGCTTATATCTCCCTAGACAGGTTGACTTGGGGAGAAGATTCCTGTCCCTAAGGAACAAGTACTAGGGGGGAAAATCTCATGTCCATTGAGATAGGCAATTTGTGGTATACAGTGTGGAGTTCACTGTCAGATAAAATGTGGGAGAAACTCAGGAATCAGGAGTCTCTAAATGGAAAGGCTGAGGCACATAGAAGTCTAGGAAGGTTTTGAGTGAGGACAGTGAATGTAACTGTGGTCCCACAGAGAGTGTTGGAGATTCCTTTAGGTTATAAGGGTAGTACCTTGGGGATGAGGAAACCCCGAAAGTTGGTGTCTTTGGTGACCCTGTGTGCCAGGCTCATTGGTACCAAGTCTGCAAATCTTTGAATCTCATGGATCACAGCGTCTGTGTAGGGCATCTTGACCCGGTCCTCATACTTGGGCTTTCGGTTCCTGCCAATCACTTGGTCAATCTCTTCATGGATCTTAGCTGCAGGAGAGGGGGAAAATGTTTAGGTATCCAGTGGCCTCAGAGCAGGGATTCAAGTCCAAATATGTTAAGCTAGATGTGTGATGTGTGTCTGTGTGTGAGATGGATGTTGACCATGGAAAGTAGATTGGCTATAAACATTGCTGGATCAAGGACATGTGAACCTGGTCATGCTAGATCATATGGGTGTTGGAAGGAGGAGCCTTAGGCATTGGTCAGCTGAGGTAGGCAGTAGGAATTGTGGTTAAGGAGAGCAATTTATAGCAAGTTCAGGTCATAACAATACACAAACAACTTGTGAGACTTGCTTGGTGCCTCTCAGCTGAATATCCCCTGTCTTTCCAAGGGCAAGGGAAAGATGGGGTCACTATAGCAACCTCAGAGGAGCTTGGCGAGTCTGTGTACTCTATTCTCTGCTCCCTCAACTTTACCCTCCACATCTGGGTGCTTCATGAGCAGTAGGAAACCACAGCGAAGTGTTGTGCTGACAGTCTCTGTGCCCCCAAAGAAGAAGTTCATTGTGGTCATCACCAGGTTCTTCATGCAAAACTCTGAGTTGGGACTATTTTTTTCCTGAAATGAGAGGGGCCTTTAGGCTGAGTCCATCTGCTACCCATTTGTGGAATTTCACATTAAATTTTGCCTTGGATCTACCTGTCTTAAGTCAAGAACTAAGGTGGCAAGAAGGATATAGATTCACTATCCTGTCTACAGTTTCTAAGTCTTTACTCCCCTGGCTCTGCTCTAAATTTTCTTTTCATGTTCATTTCATGGCTGCCTATCCATCCTTAGTTATCTTTGTTTTCCTTCTTTACATGGTAAGAATATTTAGAAAAAGAGGTATAGAGAGAGAACATGAGAAAAAAGGGGAGATGTATTAAGATGGTGTGATTCAGAGAAAGTTTAAAACACATGTTTGGCAGAAAGGCAAGATGGCAGAGAGTGATTGCCAGTGCTCAGTTTCTCCAGGACAAAGTTCTAGAGTCTGGAGGATACTGGCTTGTAGAGGCAGCAAAGTGAGGGGAGAATACAAGGGAACAATGAGGAAACTGACAGAGGAGAAAAAAATAGGATGAGATGATACAGAAGAGATGGGTCATGCCATAGAGGAGAAACCCCAGCACCGAAGACTGGCTGACTGCCAGCTGGGAGGCACAGTGAAACCACTAAGTTCTCTGCTCGTGGAGAACTGAGTTAGCACCTAGAGAATCTTATTCAGTTGGAGACAGTACAAACCCTGAAGGACAGAAGAGGTTGGAGTGAAATATTTCAAACCCTAAAAGCAAATAACATCCAACCCAGATTAACTTCGCAGCAAAGATAGCCTTTAAAGTTAATGGAGATATAAGATAAATTCTCCCTAAAATCAGGAACAAAGCAAGGATATCCACTACCACTTTTTTTCTTTTTAAGAGAAAGAAGAATTTATTGAGAGAGAGATAGCTTCTGCCTAAGAGAGACAGAAAGGGAACTGGAAAGTGAATTGTCCCCACTATCACTTTTTCTATTCAACATAGTACTTGAAACATTAGCCAGAACAATTAGGCAAGAGGAAGAAATACATATAGGAAAATAAGAACTCAAATTATCATTATTTGCAGATGTCATGACAGTTTACATACAAAACCCAAAGACCTCCACCAAAAAACTCTTAGAATTAATAAGCAACATCAGCAATGCAGCAAGATACAAGATTAATACACAAAATCATTGGCACTTGTGCATACCAACAGTAAACAGGATGGGAAGGAACTTATGAAAACATTCATAGTCGCTTCAAGAAAAATAAAACACCTAGGGATTAACCCAACCAAGAAAGTGAGAGACTTCTACAAAGAAACTACGGTACTCTGAAGAAGGAGATTGAACAGAACATCAGAAAACGGAAAGCCATTCCTTGCTCCTGGATAGGCAGAACAAATATTGTCAAAATGGCCATCCTCCCAAACTGTTATACAGATTCAATGCAGTCCCAATCAAGATACCAACATCATACTTCACAGATCTAGATAAAACAATCCTAAAAGGAGAACCATGCCTGCTCCCAACCCAGCCGACATCACTCAAGTGCCGGGAAGGTAGCCCCGCAGGCGCCCCTGAACCCCCATAAGCCCCTCCAGTACTCTCAGTCCTCCTGACTTTGCCAGACTTTGGACCCACTCTGCAGAGGCAGAGGTGGTCATCAGGGGTATTTTTCTGAGTTTCCAACTTTGAACATCTTTAAAGAAAGGGCGTGGGAAACCTGTAATAGAACATTGTGGAGTTCAACCATTCAGAAGGTTGGGGAACTCATTCTGGGCCTTGCAGCCCGAGGTCAGTCAGCATCATGGGGTTCAGCCATCAGCTAACTGAGATCAGGGGTCTTGCATCCTCACTCTGTCTGAGTTATTAACAGGTAAATACACTATATTGAAATTTAGTTCACTGCAGAAATGTTCTGGACTGCTTCTTGATTTCAATTTAATTCAAATGATTTAAGGGTGATAGACTAGTGACTACCACCGGTGGTCAGTGTCAAAGTTATGCTTGATCTTAATGTGTTGCTGATTGTATCACTTGGGGTAAAGCATTGCCGTTGATTTGATGAGCTGTTTTCTCTGATGTTATGAAGATGAGAATGTCTGTGGGTCATTAGAGACACAGAAGCTAGGGCGCAACTATATCAGGAAGATTTGGGTGATAATCCAGAGATTAAACCAAGGACAGTCCGACAACAAAAATAAAAATGAGAAAACACTTAAGCAAGACACAAGGACAGACTTCCAGTTTACCAATGGCAAACAGTAGAGCAAATGAGGATGAAAAGACTGATAGTGAACCACCAGGACACCCTGAACTCAAAGCACAGGAAGTAACGAAACAGATCAATCAGGCTCTAGAAAAATTCAAATCAGAAATAATTTCCCAGATAACCATAGAGATAGTGAGCAAAATGGAAGTCGTGATTCGAGACTCTAGAGCAGAAACTGACAAAAAAA